GTGAACCATGGCATCCCTTAGCGTAGAAAAATATTTTCCATTTGGTAAAGAGGTTGAGTTCTGTTTCGAACAAAAAGTTCGATTTGGCTTTTCCCCAACTCAATTTGTATCTGATTCTGATCCAAACCAAACCGGTGACCACCTCTTATCTTACCCCGTGCTTGGCTCCTGTCATGCAATGTAATTGCAACCACTGGATGGAAAGGTAGCTGAAAATCTCGAATTCGTAAAACTCATGATGGGGTGTCATATGAAGGGAGAGGGTCCCATCACCGTACACGTGTAAAAGAATGGATCCAAATGAGTACTAAACACGCACAATCACGAAAACCAGAAGTCAGATCAGATCATGTGCATGAGATCAGAGAGTATAGCGGGTTTTGCGCTTGTTGCCAAAATCGTACACACACAAACAGAAAAAAGAAACGACGCATAACAATTAAAGGAACAGACGATTTGCTTTTTGGAGAACCCATTATAGGGTTACGTGGCTGCCTACTCCCTTTGCTTTAGTTTCTGTGGGCCTTTTTTCTTTCTTTTCCATTTTTTTTCCGTCCTTGGATCGGTGGTATATATTTCTTTCTTTTTATTAAGGATAGGTCATTTGTAGTACGTAATTAAAAATTTTGTACTTAAAAAAAATATCTTAGCAAGAAAAAAAAAAAAAAGAATGGTTTCCACTTTTAGTTGTTTTCATGGATTAATTAGATGAAGGATTTGAACATTCATTTATACTTATGTTCTTAACAATTTTCATGGATTAAAAATTCAAAAGCTATGAACATTTATTTATTTTTTCTTTAATGAAAAAAACATTTATTTATTTTCTCTATCTATTTTTCAAATCTATTGAAAGAAGCAATGATAATTTTTATAGAGGATAAAGTTTTTAGCACAAAGTGAGTGATACGTTAAAAGTGAATGGTTCAATGGAGCAACCAAAAAGCTGCGGCTCCCAACACACACAAACATGTATAAAATTTTGATATCCAATCATGTAAGCTCTGCTTTTCATAACTCCTTTAATCTTTCTTTTGTCTTTTTCTTTTTATAACTCCACCCTCTTTACTATTTTACTCCTACATTTCTAGTCAATAAAGTGAATTTTGCCTTTTATTTTCTTAATTATAACTTCATTTTTAATTGAATTTTTAAATTTATGAACTGAGTGCAAGGCTCACTCTTAAATTTACTCAAGATTTACTCTTTTTTTCTTTTTCTATCAATTATCCCCTATGTTTGAATTGAAAGAAAATAAAAGGGAAAAAAAAAAATATTATATTCGTTTATTTGAAAAGATTCATATCTATTTGGTTCAAAGTAGACATAAATTTCCAAAAGGAGGACCAAGAGTTCAATAATTAGAGAAGATTTTGAGAAAACAAGAAAAGAGAAGTGATTTCGATGATCAAAAAAATTAAGAATGATTTTTAAGTGAGGGTATTTTTGGAATATCACATCCATTTGACGTAAAAAAAATGTTGATTTTTGAACAAAATGATGTATTTGTCGACGAAATTACAATTTAGGAACTCAAAGTTGGCTTTTAAAACCTAGGGTTCTCAAGTGATAGTTACGACAAAACTTAGGAACTCTATTATTATTTTTTCTAAAATAATACTACTTTGATTTTTTTAAATTGTTATCTAAATAAAAGTTAAAAAATTATCAAAATTAAGGGAATTGAGATAGCATTTTGATATCAAATACTTCGTCTGTTTCAAAATACAAGTCATTTAAGATTTTTACATGTAATTAATTTTCCTAAATTGTAATAAAATCAAAGATAATTTGACCAGAATACCATTTGTTTTAAAAACAAGAGTAACTTATAAAGATTAATATAAAATGAAAAGATTATTTATTGCTCTTCAAAATTTAAAATATTGTATAAAATATACTTTTATATACCATATTATATATGTCTTATGGTGTCTCAATCAAATTCTAGATTTGTTTTAATAAAGTAAAAGCATTGGTTTTTTTTTTGTTAGTCACAACATATTATGCAAATATTCACTCAAGCTAATAATATGGTGTAGGCTAGTTATAGATAATACAATAAATTATGTAAAAGACAAGAAGATTGTAGCCAAACAAAATACTTCTTTTCCTAGAAACCATTTGCTTTGCAGCTTTTGATATTCAATGGAAAAAACATTTTTCTCACTGAAAGCTGCTCCTACTTTTTGTTATTTACTCGCTAAAGGTTGAAAGGAATTAAAGCTACTTATCCACTGTTTATGGTCTCTTCGATAAAATTAGTTGTTTTGATAGCTTTCAGCTATTTAAGTAGCATTTATCTGTTAGTTGCTTAAGTAGTTTTTAATGAAACACTAAAAGTAAAATGTTACATGAGTTAACTTTTCACAGAACGCTATCATAACATCTAAAAGTTAGTCCAAATATTGTGTTACCGAATAATTTTTTAAGTAGTTTTTAGCTTTTTGAATAGTAAAAATGCTAAATGGTAGTATTTTTCAAATGTTCGGTAACATAGCATTTGAACTAGCTTGTAGATGTTAAGGTAGCGTTTTACAAAAAGTTATCACATATAACATTTACCTTTTAGCATTTCTAAACAGTTACTAAAATAGCTAACAACTAAAGATTACTAAAGCAGCTAACAACTACCAAAATAGCTAATTTTGCTGAACATATACTTAGGCTCCACTCACGAAATATTTAAACCCGATAGTTTTAGTGATAAATGGGGCTTAAGCTTGAGTAATGAGTTTTGCTAAATTTGAATATTATAAAATTTACTATTGAGTTTGTAAATTTAATTAAATATTTATATCTATACAATTTCAAATCAATTTTATTTTATATAAAATATTTCAAATACTGATTTAAGATCTGGTGAAAAAAAATTAGTTGTTTTAGTAGTTGTAGCTGGCCTAGTAATTGTCAGTTGTTTAACTAGAATTTCATCAAACGTTAAAAAGAGTAACATTTACTATCAAAAAACAAAAGAGTAGCATTTCATAATCTATTTCATCTAACTCTAAAATTAGTATAAACACTATGTCATCGAATAATATAAATAATAGAGACAGGATTTTAACCTTAATCAAAGCGTTAAAACACTATATGAAAAGTTGTTGTTGAACAAATTTTTAGTAACTTGAACTTAAACTTAGTCTTGTTTGAATTTTATTTTAATATTCAAAAAAAATATTTATTTTTATTGATATTCAAACCTAATGGACTCGAGTTTAAGTATTTCAAACATTCATTCAACCCAAGTGTGGATGTAAAATTAAAAAGTTGAGTTGAGTTTTCAACCTCAAGTTTTCTAATTGAGTTGAGCTTGATCTTTTAAAATTATTATGCAAAAGGTATTTGTTTGAATATATAATTAAAAACTTGAGTTTTGAACCTCAACTTTTCTAATTAAGTTGAGCTTGATCTTCTAAAATTATTATGCTAAAGACATTTTCAAAAAATAAAAATAAATAAAATTTTCAATTTTAAATTTATTTCAAACATGAAAAATTCATTTATAAATAAATTTTAAGTAAAATTTATTTATAAATGAATTTCATTCATACCAAGTGGAGCATAATAATCAAATTTATCTCAATTTTTTATATTTTAATTAAAAATCTTATCTAGATTGAAAACATCTTCATTAAAAGCTCTTTCCTTTTAAGAGCTTAATCCAACAAGAGTAGAATTAGACTTGGCCATGGGCTAAGGACACATGTTATCTAGTAAAAAAAAAAAACTTAAATAGAAATACTGTACTAAATGTCAGATTTTAAAACTTATTTTTTAAAAATATCAATTTAACTTTGAGATTTAAATTATTGTCATTTACGATATATTTTTAATATTGTACCTTTTTTTTATATTGTTAGGGTGTTATATTTATTAATATTTCAATATTTCAATTTTTGAGTATTTCCTTTTTTTTCGTATTTCCTTTTTTTTTTATGCTGCCAATGATTTTTTTCGGTCTTTGAAACTTATTCAACTGTCAATATACTTTCTTATTCTTTCTACTCTTCCACAGTTGTGTTTTTTTGATTCAAAAGGTTTGTTAATTTCGTTTTTTGATTATGTTTTTTAGATGTCGTTTCTTGTTATAAATAATTATTTGCTATTTTTATTCTGCAATTTCATTTTTGTACAAGCGTATTAGTGGCTTAATGCTCATTGAAAAATTCACCTGTCATGAATGTTATTTTGATGTTTTTAATAAATATATCCTAAATAAAATTTATAGAACTTTTATGCCCTCAAATGAAATTAGGGTTAGGGTCTTATTAAAAAATGCAAATATGTGGTTTAATCCACATTTGAACTTAGACTAAATTAATCCATACTCAATTAAACTTAATTAATACACTCTCAAATGAAACTACGATCCGGACTTCTGTTGAGAAATGCATATATGATTGAATTAGACTTAATAAACTAAGGATAAACCTTGTTTAATGTGGTAAATGACATAAACCAAATAACATTTTTAAATTTTTTTCATCATTTATTACTTTTTTTTTTCCTTTTTTCGCAGTGAATAGACATATATATACTCTCATCTGTTTTATACATCTTTATTTAATTATTTTGGTATATAAATGCAAGTAAATGTTTCTCTTCATCAAAAAGAAATTCCTTAAATTCTCTATTAGCTCCTCTCTCCGTCCATGTAATTTTTTAGGCAAGTCGTATTCCTATTATACATTTGCAACCTTGTTTTATGAACCAAAAAATTTTCGGAAAAAAAAAAAATTTATCAGTCTTATTTTTTTATTTAGCAATAAAATAAATCATGACTCTATTTTCTGGTATCGTCATTTAAAAACAAATGATTCATGTCTGAATATGAGGCTAGCTAAAAAGAGGGAAACAAAAATTATGCTTACAGCTCTCTCTCAAATAATCAAGCTCTAAATAATTTACTATTAATACAATAAATTATTTGAATACGATTTTGGAAATTCAAATTTTATTTGAAATTTGATTAATCAAAAATGAAATTCAATTCTAAATTCCATCGAAAAAAAATTCACTTCTAAATTACTTTTAACCAAGAAAAAAAAGAAGTCTCTAATGGGTCTATGCTAAGTAATTACAAGAAGAGAAAGAGCATAGCTGCATAAATAGAAGTGAAAAAGACCATAAAAGAAAACAAGCAGCCATGATTATTTCTTCCATTACAGGAATTCTTCCCCCAGGGACTGTGTTAAAGATGATCTTTTTTTTTTTTTTTTTCTAAGTAATATTACTAAGGAAGAGGAAAATAGAGGCAATACTGAATAAAATAGAAGTGAAAAAGACCCAATAAAAAGAAAACAATGGCAGCCATGTAATTATTTCTTGCCATTAACGAGGAATATTCTTCCGCACCACAGGGGACTGTTGTTAACAGGGATGGGGATCTTTTTTTTTTTTTTTTTCTGTCTCCTTAACAGTACTTTTAGCCAGCAGCAGATAGGTAGGCTCCAATTAACGACCTAAAAATCATTTCGCGCAGCGGGCTTATAAGTAAAGAGTAAATAATTATATTATGTACCCCACTAATGATTATCGTCACCTTTCACCTAAAGCCCCCATGCGTGCTCCTGTCTCTCTCTCGTCTACTTCATCTTTTCAGTCTCGTATTTCTTTCTTTTTTGGGCTTTTCCCATTCTTTTTTTTAAAAAGCGCAAAAAATTTTTGTTCATTCCGTTAAAGATAATTTTTTTTTTTTTTTTTTGTCTCCTTAACAACTTTTTACAGCAGCAGATAGAGGCTCCAATTACGACCTAATCATTCCCGCACGGCTTATAAGAAAGAGAATATTATATATGTACCCACTAATTTATCGTCACCTTTCACCTAAGCCCCCACGTGCTCTGTCTCTCTCTCTCTACTTCTCTTTGCAGCTCGAATTTCTTTCTTTTGCTTTTCCAATTCTTTTTTTACCATTTTTGTTCATCCAATCCTTTCTTCTTCATGGCCCCCATCTCTTCAAAATTTTCACTTTTCAACAGTGGAGATCAAAAGTAAAGAGCTTTCAAATATATAGATACTCTTCACTTCCTATTTTACAAAATCCTTGGAGCTATCTCTCTCTCTCTCTCTCTTTCTTTCTTTCTTTTAAGATACCATCATCACCACCTTCTTAATTATTTCCCATTTTTTTTTAAGATTTTCTAATTCCATTGATCAGGACAGTACCATTGAAGACTAGGAGCTTGTTCATCAGAGAAGAAATTGCAGGCCTCTTCACTGCTAAAAAAATTATGCTCTTCCATTTTCACAAACTGGGTTTGATATGATCCAGTTTTAATGAACTGAAACGGTGATGACGATGAAGATGGCCGAGAAGGTGACATCATTAACTGGTTATGGCTTTGAGGAACTCCAGATGAAGAAATAGCCGGATTTGGACTGTTATTACTATTATTATTATCTTCATTCAAGATAGCACTCGAGTCACTATCAGATGACCCATCTTTAAAGTCTGGAAAAAGAGACACTGCTAATATTCCATTATTACTGTTACTGCTGTTTATATTGAAGCTTTCATAATTCATGTCTTTTGTTTCTGATCCAGCAATGGAAGTAAGAATAGGTGGCTCTTCACTTCCTTTCTCATCGGTTTCTGCTATTATTATCTCTTCTTTTACAGAAACATTGCTTTCAGCGTTGTCTTCATCTAATTTTGCTTTCAGTTCTCTTATCTGCAGTATCAAATATAACTAATTATATATAGTTCAAGATCAAAGATAATAACTTTAGTATTAATATTGAGTAAATACTTGCCTCTTTGAGTAAAGCTTCATTATCGTGTTGAAGAGCATCATAATTGACCTTAAGAGTTTCATAATTAGCTTTAAGAACACCGTAATCTCTTTCCAGTTGTTTAGTCTTCCACCGTGCGCGGCGGTTTTGAAACCAAACAGCTACTTGTCTTGGTTGCAGACCAAGTTCTTGCGCTAATTTCACTTTTCTTTCTGGTTCAAGTTTGTTTTCAACTTCAAAATTTTTCTCCAAGGCTTTGACTTGATCTACACTTAAGCGTCTTTTCTTCTCGGAGACATGGCCGGCTTCTTCTACACAAGCTTCTTCGTCCAAGCCATCCAACATGGACTGAAATTCTCTACCATAAACATGGTTGCTGTTTCTTGGACTATGTTCGTCTAAAAAGCAAAGAAGAAAGAGAATTGATATATAAAAGCTTAAAACGTCAAGTTTAAGTCTTGCAGAGGAAAAGAAGAAGACAAACACATGTGACAGTCTTGAAAATTTTTGACATGAAGCATTAATACAAAATAAGATGAAGAATAAAAATAAAAGTAAATTAATTTAACGGGTTTTGTGTAAGAACCTGAGGTTGGGCAGATGGAGATCAAGGCACCAAGAGAATCAGAGCTGCTAAGTCTCTTCATGACTTGATGGCTATAAAAGAACTTTAAGAACAAAACAGATCTTTGTTCCTTTTTTTATTTTCAAGTCTTGTTTTGTGTTTATGTGTGTGTTTATGGATTTCAGTGAGAGAGAGATCCTTTTAGAAGGTGAACAAGTATTCTTTTTCACTTGTATGGAGAATTTTCATGTATAGAGATAGACCAGCCTGTATGATACTGTTGTATACAACTGTACCACCGCTGCCTGGTTTGCACTCTACCATGTTTCTCCTTTTCTATTTCTCCTCTTACTCCTCCCCCTTCTGTACCCATCCAAATGTTGAAAACACTAATAAAACCCAACAAGCAAACCTTTCTTTCTCCCAACCCAACAGAAACCAAAACCCACAAGTTACCAGTCAAGAAAATTTTCTTTCTTCACATTATTACTCAATCAATTTTAGCTTAGCTAAGAATTTTGCACCCTAAACATGGTCTATGACTGTTCATCTACAAAAGAAAAAAAAAAAACCAGAAGAGAGAGAGGGAGATTTAGAGAGAGAGAGAGAGAGAGAGAGAGAAAGAGAAGAGTGAACTAGTTCGAAAACCCAGCTGGCCTCACACAATTTCTTTCCCTTTAAATAAACCAAGTTGGGAGTTTGGGTAGAGAATTAGGGTTAAAATCTGACTTGGGTTAGGTAACACAAATGAAATGAACACAAAATTCAGTCCAAATGAAATTTTTGGTTTACCGGGTATTGCCGGTTTACCCTTTTTTGTGGTGCAAACTGCAAAGATATTTTTATACTCGGAGGGTTACAGTGAGACATTGAGATATGAACGTTGAAGCTACAAAGAGAGTACGGCTTCGCTTCTAACGGCTCAGCTCTCATTTTTTAAGCTGAAGTGATGGAGATTTGTTTGGCGTCAGCGAATCATACGCTCTGTCACTACGGCGTGGTCGGTGCGATTAATCGCAGAGTTTATATTACTTTTTAATATGCAAACGTTAGAACCGGGTAGGTTCAGCGTTGGGTTCCACTGTTCCATTAATTCGGTTAATTCGATTTATAAATAAATATTTAGTAAAAATAAATTAAAAGTTTAGTGACAGTTAAAAGTTTGATTAAAATTTAATTTAATTAAACTAATTAAATTAAATGATTTTTAAAATTATTTTATTTTGATTGAATAGATAATAAAATTAAAAATTAAACATATTCAATTTTTATTTAAATTAAATAGTAATTAATAACTTCAATTAACATTTATTTCGATTAAAGTTGGTTAATTATAAATTTTGATTTAAAGTCGGTTAATTATAAATTTCGATTAATTAAATTTTTATTTTTTTTAACTTCGATTCGGTTAATTATTGAAATTAATTCGGTTAAAACGGTTTGGTTAAAAAAATAATTCAGTTAGATTCAATTAAATCAAAAAAATTTTGATTAATTTATTTGTGTAAAATTTTACTTAAACTGATAAAATTGACCGAATGCTCACTTCTAGAACTCTAAATCACAATTTTATCCAATACATCTGATTTGATTTGGGCGGGTTTGGATAGTTAAAAAATAGGATTAGAACGGATTTGAATAATATTTTTAGTATTCGAATCAAATTCAAGTTTAATGACTCGGTACCTGCAAAATTAATATTCTAAACATATTTAAAATAATTATTTTTTAATAGAAAAGTATACACACCTTTCTAATTATAATTAATGCTTACATTTAATATTTAGTTTTTTATTAAGTCAAAATAATAATTTTTACTTACTTTCTATTTTTAAAAAATAAAAATAAAAAATATTTTTAATGTTTAATGGATTTGAATATTTACAATCGTGTTCAGGACGGGTTTGAATACTAAAAATAAATTTATAAACTGATTTAAATACTTAATTTATAATTGAGTTTGAGCGGTGTGTTTTAAGTGGGTACTTAGCTTGTTGCCATCTATGGCTGGGAGCCTTAAACTTCAATTGTTTTATTCAATGTGTTTTAAACTGGATGGCACATCAAACCAATTTAATGACCGAATCGTAATAAGCCCGAGTCAAGTATGTTCGATCTAAATTTCTACTTTTATTTTTATAGTTATTCGTAAAAATTTAATAAAATATACCCATAAATAATTTTATAATGAAAAATAATGATAAAATTATAAGTTTATAATTATTTTTTCAAACCATTTACCATCAACTATCTATATGTAACTAGAGATGGCCATATTACGGTTCCGGGAACCGGAACCGTCGGTTCGAACCGGTCCGGAACCGTAACCGGAACATGTGAGAATCGGAACCGGGCCGAACCGGGACCGGTTTCAAATTTTCTGGAACCGGAACCGGCGGTTCCAGAGAACCGATCGGAACCGGACTGGAAGAAGCATGTGAGAATCGGAACCGGGCCGAACCGGGACGGTTTCAAATTTTTCTGGAACCGGAACCGCGTTCAGAGAAATCCGGATCGGAACCGGACTGGGAAACCGCCAGTTCTCCGGCCGGTTAGAAAACCGGGTTCGAAGCGGTCGAACCGGCGGTTCTAAGCCAAACTGTCAGTTTTTTTTTTTTTTTTAAATTTTGTTGTGAAATTTGTTTAAGGTTTTTAAAAGAATAAATTTAATTGGAAAGTTTTTTTTAATTTTTTTAGGGGTGTATCTTTAATTTTTTATGTTCAAATATTTTTTTTTTTTTAACAGCCGGTCTTCAAAATTTAAATTATGTTCAAACTTTTTTAAACAAAAAATAAATTCATTGGTTGAAAAATTTTTTTTTAAAAAAAATAATTATGTTCAAGTGCTTTTAAAAAAATAAATTAATTGAAGTATTTTTTTAATTTTTTATGGTTGTTGGGTGTATTTTTTAATTTTTTATGTTCAAAATAATTTTTTTTTTTTTAAAACCGGTCTTCAAAAATTTAAAATTTAAAAATTATGCGATTCGCCGGAAAATGCGAATCGGAACGTCGGTTTTTTATTAACCGGATCGGAACCGGAACCGGATTGCGGAAACTGGAACCGGACCTTTTCGGTTCGGGTTCCGTTGTTCAGTTTTTCCGGAACCGTAACCGCCGGTTCCGGAAACGGAACCGGCCCGGTTCCGGAACGTGGCCAAGCCTATATGTAACTATTAATCGGTTCCGGTTCCAGTTTTTCCGGAACCGTAACCGCCGGTTCCGGAACCGGAACCGCCGGTTCCGGAACCGTGGCCAAGCCTATATGTAACTATTAATTTTTACATTATTTATTATTCAAGCCAAATATTATATAATGCAATCCATAATAGTAAACATATAAAAATATAAGTAAGAATAAATTAAATGTGTTCACCATTCATCTATAATATAAAAATATTTATTTACTACAATATAATTTGATATCTTCGAATTAAATTATTTTATAAATTAAGAAATAATTAATTAATTATTGATTATAAGATAATTATTTTTTAGATTAGATACATCATATTGAAATTGATTTTTCAAGAAAATTTAGACTATTTATTTGTAATTTTTAGATATTTTAATTATTATGTTTTTAAAATAAATTAGTTATTTATAATTTTTACATCTTTTATTTATTATGAAAATTTTTAAGAAAAAAATTAGTGGATTTCAAGGTACGCGTTTTTCAAAGAAAAAAAAAGTCATGCATTTGAAAATTTGAACCTATACCCTATGAAAAAGTAATTTTATGTCTCGATCATACTCCATTTAATTTATATAATAAAAATTTAATTTTTTTGTTTAAAATTAAAATTATCCAGTTTATAGCAGGAAATCAAACCAAATCAGATTAGACCAATAATTGGTTTGAAATTAATCAGTATGACTAAAATAACCAGTCCTCCTAATTTCAAAATACTGATTTTATTGACTAAGGATTTTATTTTTTTTTTTTTTAAGCTGAGTAAAATATAAATATAAATATTTTTAATTCATTAGAGACTTTTAAATGCCAAAATAACACAGACAATAGAAGATAGTCCACTCCTCGTATAAGTAAAAAGACCAACCAGACCACTATTAAAATTTTCCTTTCAATTTAAGATAAATCTCAAAAAAAAGTTAACTCAGTCATGTGCTGCACTGTAGATGAGAAGTTTGGAGGAAATATTTTCAAATATGTTTTTCTTTGGTATGAAAACTACATTGCATATAGATATTGGCTGAATATATAATTTCATTTCATTGTTATTTTAATTTTATGTACCTTCAATTTTTATTTTGACATCTTAAATATTTCAACTTATAAAATTAAATCTATTAAATACTTTAAATTTATAAAATCATTTTATTAAACACTTTATTTTCACGGGTATCCGTCAAAAACGTATTTAAAGTAGATTTTGATTAATTAAATGGTTTGAGAATGATACGAGTATTAATTTAACTATTCAATGCGGATATTGAATACCCGCATTCACCAAAATTTAAAATTAACTATTATATAATTTAAAAATATTTACATAATAAAATATTTTCTGGTGAGAATTTAAATGCATATTGAGTTAAAAATAATAATAAAATGTGAATGTTATTAAGATGGCTTAATCTTACTTTATTTATATATTTTGACATTTACAAATTTGAAATATATTTTAAATTTTTTGTAATTTTCACTAGTTTTATTTTATATTCAATTAATTTGATGTTGTACTATACATATAAACAAAGTGAGTCTTTGTGAATGTCCTGTCCATTTAAAGCAGATTTACATATTAATTAAATGAAATATATAGATATTAAAATTTTAAATGGGTTCTGATAGTTTTTGAATAGAAATTTCAAACATATTTAGGATGAATATAGATATTAAAATTTTAAGTCGGTTTGGATATGTATAATGTAAATTTTATAAATACATGTCTCATTTCCATCTTTAGTTACTATTCAAAAATATAAAGTATATAACTCCATGGTTATTGCTATTTTATCTTTTTTTTTTAACGAATTGACACAAACAACCTTGTTTGAAACAAAAAATATTTTATTAATTTGATGTGTCACTGCGCCTTCAATACCAAGAGAAGCAAAAGTCATTCCAGGAAAAAAAAAAAAAAAAACATCCATCTCGAACCGCTACTCTTCCTCAGTTCTTTTCTTCTAACTTCTCCACCATTTTTAAGCTCAAAATGAATTGGTTGTGCTTGGATCTATGCAATTTAAACTTCAGTATCCTCCCTCATCATCTGCCTAGTAATGAGAATATGAGATCGGCTTTCAATCTTGCTCGAATCTTGGAAGAAACAATGCCAAAGTACCCTCTTTCCTTTTCACTTCAAGATTTAAATTGATTAATGCAAGGTTGAGTTTGGAAATGCTAATTTGAGGCTAACCAGAGAATAGCTGCTCAAGAAGAGGTAAAGGAGCTTGCTTTGGCATTAACTGTATTTTCAATGTTTGTGATCATTTTGTTGATTCAATCAGTTAATCATTTTTATGTTTTTTAGAAAATTACAAAATGTGTAAAAATTATGCAATATATGTTAGCAATTCATTATGTGAGATTCAAAGTAATGAGTTTGCAGTTTGCAGTGATTGTAGAGAGCTCTTTTGCTGATGAAAGAAGAGAAAGAAAGAGGGAATATACAATCATGTCCGGTTTTTTAATTGCAAAATTCTTGCTATAGTTAATCTAATAAGGAGATCAAGGTAGTTTTGCAATTATTGTAAAAAAGAAAAATGAAAGCAACAAAGGAGACGTGTGACACCATTTCAAGACACTTTATGATCACAGCATGAAGTGAAATGTGAATAGGTATTGCAGAAATTTCAATCATTATCAAGAAAGCAATACTGATTGTAACTTTTTTTTTTCTAAGGCTTAGTTTAGCAAAATTAGCTGTTTCAGCAACTGTTATATATCAGTCGTTTTACTAACGTTTCATTAAATCTTAAAAGTAATAATGTTTTATAATATGTTCCTTTTTCATAAACTATCATTCCAACCAATTGTGCTAACCACCCCAATTTTCAGTAAATTGTATTGAGGGAAAAGAAAGATTAAATAATTATATATATATATATAAAATATGCATATGCCTAAATACTATTATAGATTATAGACATATCCATCTCTCACACTTCCATTTCTTTAATTTAAAACTCTATAATTCATTTAACAATGGTAAAAAATGACAGAAGGTTTATATTATAATATTAATTAGCACTTTCTTTGGAGTTTTTTAACTTAGCCATATCTCTAGTTTTAAATTTGCAGCCATAGTTGCTGAACGATGTCTTTCTTAACATGAATGGCTGTCGAGTTTCATTTTGCTGGAGCCACCAATTACTATTGTGGTTTTTTATCCTTTAAGGGCGAGAGAGTATTAGGAAGATGTCATAGTTTGATTAATCTTTTTAAAATTGTATATGATTAGTGGATATAAAAATTTCAGCTTTGCTTTGAGAAAGAATGAATGAATTTTGTGTTGAGAAAGAATTTTGAGCTTACCATATTGGAAATAGCTAATAGAATCTCCTGGCACAATTGGCGCTCCATTGTTAATTTCTCACCCCCTCTCTAACACAAGAAAAATGAGCTAAGAAACAAAATAAACTGGTCTATGGCGTGGAAAGGAAGCCGGAGATGGGCTCAGGTGACGGAAATGAATGGCTTGGCCATCGGTTGGTTGGGAACGAAGGAGCAGCGATTAAATGGGGTTGCGTGATACGAAGAAGAAAAAAGGAGAAAAAGGTGATCTCGGTTTGATTCCATAAATTTAAATGATTCTAAGGTTCGATTCAATAGAAAGGCTTAAATTTTGTTGGTTTTCTCTCATTTGAGTTAGTTTCAAGTGAGAACATTTTAGGCTTTGGCTTTCCTATTTAACGTTGAAATTGTTATTTTATAACACAAGACGAAATAGTTTGTTAGAGTTAAACCTCAAAGACTACTTGTAGAGTTAATTAAAATAGAGGGTTGAGTTAGTTAATTAGGCTAAAATTCAGGGAGTAAAAATTACTTTTCCTTAAATTATATTAAGAATAAAATTGGAACAAGATGAGGAAGGGTGAAAGTAAAAGGATTAAAATGAAAAGAAATGAAATAGAGAGACAAAGTGAAAAGACCGAAATGGGAGTGGACCAAAATGAAAACAATGACAATGTTGAAGGGCCAAAACAGTAAATAACTAAAAATCAAAATTTGAGAGGGAACGGGAGGGGCTTTTCTCACACGCAACGGGGGTCAGCCCCCTAGTTACCCATTTTACTAAAATTATTTTAGCTCTGAAGTTTAGGGATGCGCAAAACATAAAGAGTGGGTTGCATATTTTTTTTTATTAATTCCTTTCTTACTTGGATTTAGCTATTTAAGTTTAATTAGTTTAATATAATTAATTTAATTCTTGAAAATTGGAAATAAGTAATAAATTGTAGACAAATGGAAACAACTAAAAAAATTGAAATGAATTTTTTTTTTCCAATTTCCAATTTTTTCAACTTTAGTAATGATTTTTTTTTTTTTTGAAATTTTATCGTCATATCAGTGTTGGACATAAAAGCATATTATTAAAACTCATTTTGATTTAATGTTAGTAAGTAAATTTTAACGTCCCAGCTGTTGTCTAATTGCTATGGTGATGAAGAACTCGCAAACCTTATGTCATCACCATTGTTTTTTTTTTTTTGAAATTTTATCGTCATATCAGTGTTGGACATAAAAGCATATTATTAAAACTCATTTTGATTTAATGTTAGTAAGTAAATTTTAACGTCCCAGCTGTTGTCTAATTGCTATGG